CTAGATAAATAATGAAATACAACTTTACAAACACAGACATGAAAACTGCAAAAAGGAAGTGATTTTTTTTCTTAGAAAATTCATATTTTTAGGGGCTTTTTTCAACAGTAAAAAATCTTGTGACTATAATGCACACCGATTAATTCGATGTTACCCGTATGGGTGTCACCACTCAATGGATGACAAGTGTGCATTTTGATACACTTGATTTTTTTATTTATGCTTTATTATGTAAAATGCACACTTGTTACCTATTTGGTGGTGATTGGTGCCATTCATATGGGTGGCGTCGAATTAACCTACACTATTAACCTATGCTTATAGGGTAAAATCCAACATTTTATTTTTATTATTATTTTTTATTATTATTATTATTTTGTTAGTTTCTTATAGACCTGCAACTTTTGCAATGCCAAGGCTTAAACCAATGATGGAGTAAGTGAAGGACATGACAGCAGCCACAATTGAGAGCCACCAAATCTGATCAAAATCTGGGATTTGTGACAAAATTATCTCCACAACACCAAATGCAATCATATATGGATTGCTCGATACTCTGCATGGGCTTTCATCTCCTTTTGAGTGGAAGCAATTTGACCTCTCAATTGCCCTGTTACATACGTTTTTCACAAAATAGAAAATTACAAAATGACTTTAACCCATCTTAAAAAGAGACCAAACTTTTGTTAATTTGCTAGTTAATTATAATATCCTTAAAAGAAGAAATAACAATTAACATACTTACATCATGCTTATGGATGATGCAATGGTGTACCCAATTGTAATCCCAAAAAGATTCAAGTACTGAATCGCCCCACAAAGTTTAACCTGTAAGCCACCTGAGCAAATTCAAAGAACAGAGCAGGGGCCAAAATGAAATTATCAGAATCTTGAAAGCCCATAAAAGAAACAAAATATTATACAAAAAAAAGCAGCCGTATTTTGTTCACCTAAGTTGGCCCTGACAGCGTCCATGTATGTGTAGTTCCTCTTTCCGGTGTCTGGGTCGCCGGACCGGTAACACGTGGCCAGAAGGGTAGAAGTGTAATATGTCACGACGGAGAATAAGAGCATGGCAGTTGGGCCTGCGATCCAGCCCAATTGGGCCACGGCCCAAGCCAGGGACAGAACCCCAGAACCTATCACGGCCGTTATGATATGTGCGCTTGCAGTCCACACAGTGCCTAGAGAAGACCAAAATAATTATTAACAGCACACGCCTTTTTTATTTTTTCAAAAAAAAAAAGGAAAAATAAACAAGAAAATGAATTTTAAAAATAATGGTTTTCTATTTAAAAAAAAAAAAAAAGATAAAAAGGTGAATAAATACCAGTTCGTTTGAGGCGGCCATCGTCGTCAAAGCACTCGGAGTCTGTCTTAGTAGGGACATTAATGGAAATATCGAAAACAAGGTTTTTGTGTTGTCCAGTGGTCTCTCCCATTTTTGAGGAGTTTTCCAGACTTTTTGTAAGGTATATTATTAAAGATTGAGTAATTTGTGCCCAGAAAATTTTTCAGAGCATGAGCTACTTTGAATACGAACACAAATTTGAGGGATTGTTGTGGTAATATCCCGGTAATTTTGCTGGAAATAGTAATTTTCGAATGTTTGTTTTGTAGGAGTGTGAAGGAGCAAAGGCTGGCTGGGGGTATATATAGGAGAAACAAATGCCATAATTTAATACAAATAATAATAATTATAATAAAAGGTTGAAATTTGGGTCTCTTTAGGTCCCTTTTTCATACCTCGCAAATAAATAGATTTAAGTCTATAATAATATATACAAACTCAAATTAAAAAGTCCAAAATTTCTCCAATGCAAAAAAAAAAAAGTATTAGGTCTAGAATACCTAACAACTAATAAAAATATAATAATAGTAGATGATTCTTATTGTAAGGTTTACACTTGGGTTCAAAATAGATCCAAGAGTGGACTTGGTCTCTTTTTTTTATGGCCACATAAGCTAGACTATGTCCACTTTTAATTGCATTGTAAAACACTTTTCTATAAAATAGATCTATTTCTTACATGACATGTGAGTTTTTTAAAGAGAGACAAAGCATTATGGGTGGTCTAAGAGAGCAGGCAATTATTAGAGCATAGGATATGCACAAACCCACCAGTCCACCACCATTTGGGTTGGATCCCATAAGATTAAAACACAAAATTCTCAACTTTCTTGAATCTTGATTGTAATCAACTTTATGGGCAGATTATCTTTAGCCTAGTACAACACACAATAATTTTGATGTTGGTTCCAAACGGTGTAACAATCAGCTGAATTGGTTGGCCATTTTTTTTTAGCATAAATTCATACATATATTCTAAGATGCCATTTTTTCTTTAAAGTTTTTAACTATGATATATCCATGTACACAATTCTCAAATGTACTGGGAGCTTAAGTGGCAGATTTGTTTGATTTTGAATCTTATTTGTCATAATTTTATGTGATATGGGATATTATGGCTAAAACTAGCTGATAAGCTAGCTTATAACTTATCAGTAATTTTATAGCTTATAGCTTATGACTTATAGCTGAAAAGCTAGCTTATATGATAAAAGTGCTTGGTAAAATTAACTGATAAGCTAGCTGGAATAAAAATTTCAACTAGCTTATTTGAAAAGCTACCTAAAGAAGCTTATCAAATAAGCTCGAGCTTTTTAAAAAAACTCGCCTTACCAAACGAGGCTTTTTTGAATACAGGAAACTTATAAGCTAACCAAATAAGCTATAAGATGTTTGGTAAAACTAGCTGATAAGCTAGCTTAAAGCTTATATGTAAATTTTGAGCTTATAGCTTATGACTTATAGCTGAAAAGCTAGCTTGTATGATAAAAGTGTTTGGTAAAATTAGCTGATAAACTAACTGAAATAAAAAAAAAATAAAAAAAATAAAAAAAATCAACTAGCTTATTTGAAAAGCTACCTAAAATAGCTTATGAGATAAGTTCGAGCTTTTTAAAAAAACTCGTCCTACCAAAGAAGACTTAGGTTATGTTTGGTAAAACTAGCTGATAAGCTAGCTGATAGTTGATAAGCTAACTTATAGCTTATCGGTAATTTTTTAGCTTATAGTTTATAGCTTATGACTTATAGCTGAAAAGATAACTTATATAATAAAAGTGTTTGGTAAAATTAGCTGATAAGCTAGTTGGAATAAAAAATTCAACTAGCTTATTTGAAAAGCTACCTAAAGAAGTTTATCAAATAAGCTCGAGCTTATTAAATAAGCTCGTCCTACTAAATAAGGCTTATTTGAATACAGGAAGCTTATAAGCTAACCAAATAAGCTATAAGCTACCTTTTGGTTTACCAAACATAGTCTTATTTAAATACAGGGAGCTTATAAGCTAACCAAATAAACTATAAGTTAGCTTATTTGGCTTACCAAACACAGTCTATACATCTGAAGAAATAAACGGTCTGCCAAATCAGCCGAACAGATCCAATAGTGGGAAAGCCACGGTGGTCGAAGGATATCGAATAGGATTATGATGACCGAGAGACTGTGGAGGTATGGTGAGAAGAATCTCGGTAAGGAGATATACAATTGGGCTCGAATACAGGAGAAATTTGGTCGAGGATCGACTAAATTTGAATATTCTCTTGTTAAATTGGTTATATATAAATTGGAACGCTATTGATTTTCCTTTTAATTAAAAAAATGGTTATATATAATAATCACCCGTTACATAAATAATGAATATCAGTTATCTTTTAGCATCAGTCAACAAATATTTGTTATCAGGTTGGGGATAAATTCTATATTTAGTACTATGAATTGCATCATTCTTGTATGAAGGTTGCTCATTTTAGCCTATATATATAGTTTTCACTATTTGATGGACTTCGGATTTTGTTTAGCGTCATTTTCCCTCATGATTGGCCAAAATCACAAGAAATAGAAGGTTACTAGTACATATATAAAGATATTTGCCCATTTCATGATATCTTTTTTAATTTCACACGCCTTGTCTTCTCAGTGGTTTAAATACCATTAATCATATCATACAAGTCATGGATACGCGGTTCAACCAGTTTTGCAGTCTATTTTGTCGATTTTAATGTTAAATTAATTTATTATTATAATATAAATAATGTATAAAAATATCTTTAATAAATACTAAAATTTTAAAATCTTATAACAATGTAAACATATTAAAATTGAGTGTTGAACTATCAATTTATATAGATAAGGTAATAAAAATANGCGAATCGTACATGTCGGCCGACCGGTAATACCAGCCGACACGGTATTTGAAACATTGGTTCTTCTCACTTGTTAGTGTCACACTATTTTCCTTCAAAAATTTTCCTCTTCCAAGAGTTTTATTACAATCATAAATAATCGACGTTTTAGGACCAAGTTAGAGGTTTGTTTGGTAAACAAAACTTTGAGATAAAGACTTAAGGTGAATTAGAAAAAAACTTTGATATAAATAACTTATGAAAACTTATAATAACATTATTATACTCTTCAATATTCTTTTAAAAAAAGAGGTTAAGATAAAAAAAAAACATTCTTTTTCTTTTTTATGCTTCGACAAATTTACATTATTATACTCTTCAATATTCTTTTAAAAAAAATAGGTTAAGGTAAAAAAAAATGCTATTTTTTATGCTTTGACATATGCTCGACGGATAAGATCTCGGGATTCTCACAAATTGAAATTTCAATTATTATTCGACAAAATTGACACTAAAAATTAAGAAAATATATGTGATGTTATTTTGTAACAATGTTTAGCAAATGTTTATTTTTGTAACATTAGTTATTGACAGGTTATTTTGCTGTTATTTTCAGTAAATATTTATTCTCTTTATATAGATATAAATTTAAAATATAATGATTAAAGCAAATATGATATAAAAGTGGTAGAGATGTGATAAATAAAGAATTTTGTTGATGTAATGTGTGAAGATAGTTGATTGATATTATTTAATTGTATTGACAAAAAATGGAAAAGGTAAGTTGTATTAAAATTGAGTTGTATTTTAAATTCAAAATATTTAAGAAAATTATAAGATCAGTCTATGAAATATAGTTTCTAATCGCCTAGGGTATGCCTGCATACAAGAATTTTCACAAAAATTCTAACATTTTAACTCAATCACTTTTTTTAACTCAACCTCACTACCATCAATATTATCAATATAATAAAATAATATTAATCAATCATTCATATACACTACATCGACCTTAATTTACTATTCATCCACTCACATTATTTTAACTAACCATCACTTCATATCTCTCCTACTTTACATCAAATCAATTTTAATTATTTTATTTTAAATATTATTTTAATATACCAACTAACAACTAACCATATCACATTTTTCAAAATTAACCAAATCAAACCAAACCAAAAAATTCAACAAAACCAAAAAATTTTATATCTAAACATGCTCTTAGTTATTTCAATTATATAATTAAAGGTCTAAAGTTTGTATTAGTTGGTATTTTAAATTTTTAATAGATACCTCCCAAATCCCAATATATCTAAATTAACAATAAACAAATGATGACATAACTATTATTCGAAAATTAGGCAACCTTCTTCCAAGTTCCAATCCCAAACTTGTCATGCTATTCTACGCACATTGAGCGGTCAAAATAGGTCAACGAATGTGGGGTGGACTCCATAAAATAGGATTGATAACGCCAGCTTGCATGTGGGAGGTTTCGATCAAAACTTGCAATCTCATCTACACATCTGATAATAATTGCCCACTTCCCATTCATTTAATTGTTTTATTTTTTTGTTCCTTCAAAATGATTAAGATAATTATTATTTATATCACATATCTTAACTAAGTAAAGAAAATTTTTAAATTGGAACTAAAATGAAGTGCAAAGCCTTCACTGCCTTGTCCAAGTATTNAAGTATTTGTAGATATTTCTCATGTTTGATCATGAAATGAGTAAGTACAGCGAATATCGGATTGTTATATTTGAATTGATTAATGAACTTATTTAGTGATCTATAAATAATTGTTTGTTAATAGGGGCTAGTATAGCTATTTTGGAATTCTTAGACTGATTCATCTTTCATCAAAACCATCCTACAATGTGCTTTTTAAAAATTAACTAGTATTTGATCATGTGCATTTGCACAAATATAAAACACATTTTTGTTTATATTTATTAATTAAACATGTACTTCTATTATATAAAAATTATTACTTTTTTTTCTTTTGGAGAGTAAAAATGTAACTCCTTTTGGAGTAACTAATTAGATTAGAGAATAATAGGGTAAAATTTGACTCCTTTTTAGACATGGTACTTCTATTATATTAATTAGATTAGTGAGTAATTAATTTAAAAAAATATAACTCTTTTTGGAGAGAAATGAAAAAAAGTTTTATTAAATGCATCAGCTAGTAATTATATATATATATATTTTACTTAAAAAAATAATCACTTCAGCTCTTTACAAAATGAAATAGTGGAAGTAGTAGTCGTTTTTATGAAATGAAATGGTGCGACATAAAATGCAATAATTAAATTTAATATGGTAGAGATAGTAAAATAATTATTGGTAATTATAAATATATAAATGAATGAATAGTAAATTATATAAAAAAGTGCAGTAGTTCTATTTTTAATATAATAATTATAATTATGTTGATATAAATAAAAGAGACAAATGAGAGAAAGTAAAATGAACACAAGAGACAATTTATTTAACATGGGCTGGCCATTGTTGGAGAACCGGTGGGCTATCCATGTATTAAGGCCCAACTTGAACTGACCCAAATCGTAACTAAAAGTGGTCTGGGCCTTAAATGGAGTCCACAATCACTAAACTCACATGTCCTTAGTGCTGAAATTTTCTAACCGAAAATCGCAAAATCGAATCAAACCGAACCGGAACTAACCGGTTCGGTCCGGTTATTGATTTTGTTTTTCTACAATTGAACGGTTCGGTTACTTTTGCCATTTTTCGGTTCCAAATTTCGGTCTTTTGTAATTGAGTCTCACATTTAACCGAATAACCGGCCACTAACATATTTAATAATAAAAAATATATAAAACTAAACAAGACCAGCCCACTAATCTTATCCACACCTTAAAAATGATTTTGGAGTTTTGTCTTCTCCCATTCCTCTCCAAAAATTCTCACTTCCTGAGCACAAATCGCCCCTTATTCTTCCAACTTTACATCTTAATATTCTTATTACTTGTCAACATCTAAATTGCTAATTTCAATTTCAATGCCCATTTTAATTTCAAAATAGTGGCGCTTATCACTTCCTTTTCGAGTGCAAAACCCTAACAGTCCCGCTCGTCATTTTCACTGAATTTATTTGTGTTCTCAAAGCTCGAAAAGTGTAGTGATCCATTTAGTTCGAAAAAGCATTCCAAGAAGGATTCGCAAAGGTAGAAGATTGCTGCATGTCGTTGTTTGCTAAAATTATTCAAATCTTGTGTATAGTTTGATGCCATGGCTTTCTGAATTTTAAGATCTGCGAGCAGTGATGTATCACAGGCTTTCAGCTTTGGATGACACTAGTAGCAAGTGATTTTTTTATTTTTTTTTTTTTTTTCNCTGTATTCGGTTACCCCTTAGAACCGAATAACCGAACCGGAATAGAATATCCGGTTCCAAAACGGTTATAGGAAATATTAGATATTAACCGAACAAAAAATGTTTACGGTTCTCAAATTTTTTTATAAAAACCGAACTGGTCCCACCCCTGCATGTCCTCCTTTCAGTCATCTCCATGTTCTCTCCGCCGCCGCTTCTCCACCGCAACCGACCGCCTGACCGGCCAAATCCTCGCCGCCGTCATTCGAAACAGACCTCTCGACTCCGCTCCTACCCACCACAACCAAACCCGCATCTGGACATCAGAAAACGTCTCTCAGGTCCTGAGATCAATCCCTCTACACCTCTTCCAGTCGCCGAGATCCATCGGCCGCCAGAAAACCCACCGCCACCGCTCCCTATCCGTCAGCGAAACCTCAAGCAGGAAACAACCAATCGCAAAACAGGCTCCCTAATCCTCGGCCCCGCTGCCCACAGAGACCCCAAGCTCCTGAATCTCGGCCTCGAGAAGGCGCTCGAGTTCTTCTACTGGGTCGAGAACCGGTTCGGCTTCCGGCACGACGAGTGGACCTGCCGCGAGGTGGCGATCGTCCTCACCAAAGGCAATCGAATGAACCTTCTCTGGGATTTCCTCAAGAACATGTCGAGGCGGCGGCACGACCTCGTCACCACCTCCACCATGACCTGCCTCGTCAAAACCCTAGGCGACCAAGGCCTAGCGAACGAAGCCCTCTCCAGGGTCTAATAGACAATTTGTCAAAAGATATTAAATGAAAGAGTTTTTGTCAAAAGAATTAAGAAAAAACCCCACTCTACGACTACGACTCTACGACTACGACTACTTTCCGTGAATTAAATAATAATCTACAGGGTCTAATAGACAATTTGCATGATATAGTGCTCCTCTATGATATGTATTCAAGTGGTGTTTTAGGAGACTTTTTGAATGATATAGCGCTCCTCTATGATATGTATTCAAGTGGTGTTTTAGGGGACCATAAATAAGGCAACAAAAAATCCATATTGTACCAGGTATAATAAAGGGTTCATCTCGACCCAATAAATGAATATTTGCACTCACGATTTAATTCACAAAACTACACTTACATTTTATGACGTATTACAAATCACTAAAACAAAAACAATAATCAAAACAAAATTTGCCCACATCAGTAAGTATAACATTAAAGAATGAAACTCTAGCATAATCATATATTCTGTAATGCATCATATTTTGCTTACTCGGGACAAGTATGAAGCAATTGCTCGACAGAATCATCCAATGGGTACCCGAGTTTCTTCTCCTCTTCCTCCTCAAGCTCCTTCAGCCACAAAATTGCATGCACTCGCTGCCTCATGATTCTGTATTCCTTTGCCAGCCTTTCCACTGTGTAAACTTCTGGATTCTCCTTGTGCTTCTTGTACATCTCTGCTTTCTCTGAATCCTTCAAGTACGATCCCCTGGCCCTAGGCTCCCTCACCTTCGTTCGAAAAATTCCAATTATCACTAAACAAATTTTGTTTTCAGAACCTGAAACTTTTCCTTCCTCGGATAAAAATCACTACCACAAGCCAAGAAAGAAACAATTTGAAACCGATATGCATTTGAATATCTCTTGTAGTATGCTGCACTTCTAATAACACCATACACATATATTCAAACAACTATAAAAGGCATAAAAATGACGGGAGAAAACGTATGAGCGTGTGTTGCCTGATCATAAAAATTACTACAGGACGTACAGGAAAATCATCATAAAAATTTAGAATCAACAAAATAGAAGAAGATCTTCTTCTTCTAAAACAGCAGTCGTGATCAAAATTTGATACACAATTAAAAACACGAAACACAGACACAAACAAGAAGGAATACAATAAATTGCAGCTAAATCATCATGATAGGAAAATAACATTTAAAACTTTCCAGCAATAATAATAATAGTAGTAGTAGTAAAAAGATGAACCTGCTTCATCAAAACAGTCGTTTCATCCATTATATCATCCCAGCTATCCACAAAAGCCTTCCCCTTGCGGTTTGCAGTCTCCAGTTCGTTCATTTTCTTGATCTCCTCATCTGTCCACCTCACTTCTGAATACAACCCGCCCTCCTTCGGGCCACCCATTCCACCAACACTAGGCTTGTTATGGCCCGCATCTGACCTCACCTGCTGCCCAACAACTTCACCATCAAAGTGTTCTTTCTTGAGCCCAGTGGAACATGATGATGGGCCCACATCCCATCCTAGGGATTCAAAGAGCCTTTTTAGACTCATTTTTTCTGCCCTCGTCCTGGGTAGAAAAGGCTCTTTGAATAACAGGGAAATGACTGAGGTTGTGTAAATTTAACGGTTTAGGGTTGGTTTTGATGGAAAGCTGTGCGAATGGACGAAGAAGGATTCGCATGTTTTTTTTTTCTTCCTCAAGAAAAGAAGCAAAACAGTGCTACTCTCAGTATTCTTCAACTAATGATATTAGTAGGACAATGGTTTTAGGTCAGGCAAAGGCACAACACAAGCCCTGCTGCAAAGAGTATATATCAGTGGCAAAACGTGAATAAAAAATAAATATTAGCATTTCCTGTACATGTATACGTAAGAGAAAGTCTCGAGTTATAAGCTGTAACCAGAACAAAAGGAACACATTTCATGTTCTAAAAAAATCCAAACAAAAAAAGAAGAGTGAAGAGATAGAATCTTTCAGCTATTTTCTTATATCAAAGGTTGTATCCGAGTTTTCGATTCTTTTCAACTGAGCTCGTTCCAAATGAGCAGCTAAATGTTCGCACATGCTCATGATTTCATAGCTAACCATCGAATTTAACTTATCAGACCAAGGAATTAAACATACAGAAAATGCATTCAGAAAAATCCAAAGCTTGAATAAACAAAAAATGAGAAATTATAGTTATAGCGTGGTAACGAGAGCGTACCGTGGTATAGGGACCTGCAGATTTTTACCATTGACCCACTGAGAAGATGAAGGGATCTGGGTTTAGTGAGCGTATTTGTGAAATTTAGGTGTTCAGCCGGGGTCAAATATGTATTTCGAGAAACAACCGAGGAGGATATGCAAAACCATAAATTGGATGACCCATAAGATCTAATAAATACCAAACGGATTAAATGGTGTGTCAAACCCAAATGACTAAGCCCAAATAGTCCTATTTTGGTATACAAATTAATGGGCCTGACCATTGCGACGAATAAACTTAATGGGCCTGTCCAATCTTGACGCCTGGTGTCTTCTCCTTCCTCCTCCCTCGTCTCAGCTGCACTGCACCAAATAATCTTTCAACAAAACCCTAATTGAAGAGTGAGTTATTTGATAATTTTTCCGCCCTATCTCTTGTAATTTGCTCCGTTCGTAGCTCAGTTTTACCGATTACCGTTGAATTTTCACAGATACACATGGATGTGGCCGCCGAGACATTGTACAAGCCACCGGCGGGTTTTGTGGAGGATAAAAGGGACCCGCTCGTCGACCTCGAATTGACAGAGTCGACTGAGCTATGGCTTATTCAGTGGCCAATCAATCAAGTACTTTTTTTTTTCTCTACAAAAATGTCATCTTTTTGTTTGTAAATTGAGTAATTATCTCCCTGATTATTAGCTCTGTGGCTGTAAATTGATGAAGGAGTTTAATGTGTTACAGCCTCTTGATTTCGATGGGCAAACGGTGTCGTTGAAGCTTGGCCGCGATGGGCACTTGGGCACCTTGGAGGGGTCTTCTGGTAAATTTGTTGTGGTCTTGTGGGGGTATTTGTTGGTATTTCTGGTTTGCTGGTAGAATCTGCTTGTTTAATGATAATTTGAGTAACTGTGGCAGGAAAATCATATGAAATGGTTGGCTGTAAGACCAATGGTCCAGAGGCTAATGTCTTCTTAACTTCAACAGCGGAGGCCAAAATCGGTATCTTGCTCTTCTCTCTTGCATTTACTTGTTTCTTTCCTCAGTCATTGTTGGTATTTTGATTAACCATACTTAATATCATTTGCAATTATCATGGGACTATTGCTAGTTCATAATGGAACTCAATTTAGATACTGAGGTATAGATATCAGCGAACGTGGGTTGTCCATCCTTTGAGTATAGTGATTATTTCCTGAGGAAGTTCTCTCTAGTATATGCGACTTTCTTGTGAAATTATAATCTTGACTGAATCCTGGAAGTATTTATCTATTTCGATAATAAGTATTGGCTTCGTGAGTTAAATGTTAAGATTTAACTGTGTGCTCATGTCGTGAAGATATTATCTAACTGTTCTGCACGGTCATCTTCTCTATTTTCATTTCCTTCTCTTTTCAAAGGGTATTATATTATTTTATTCTCTTTCCATTTCGAAATACTAAACCTCGAACAGTATTATCCTATTTAGATCGGTGAATAAATCCAATGCTACACTATTTATGTACTATTTTCAAGAAAACAAGTCAGTATCCCACAAGGGAGTATATGCAATTTCAAATCATAACTTTTCATTTCTGTTATTTTGCTTAGGTTAGACATCTTGAAAAGTTTTTGTTATTAGCATATGAACATTTGAGGTTAACTGCTCTCATTTACTGTAAATCATGATGGCAGCTGGGAAAATCTCTAGGCGCATTTCCCTGATTCATTATCCGGAGCCAGGCGAATTACTAAAGCGTAATAGCCTTAGTATGGGCCTTTCCCAGCGGTCTTCTGGGGCCACCTCAACCTTGTCCGGCTGGCGACTCCCGACTCCCTCTCGAAGCATTAGGCCCACAAAATCTAAAATCAGCGGCCTTTCTACTCCGAGCAGCAGAAGCAAGAGTTCGGGCTCTGGATTAGGAGAATCTTCAAAGCCCGCAAAGAGAAAACGAGCTGATGAGCAGAGCAAGCCCACCAGCAACTTGGCCCAAGATTCGGGGAGAGGAAATAGTGGAGTTACTTCTGCTGGCTCTGTGGAGCAGCATTCTCAGGTAAGGAAGTCCAAGAAGAAAAAGGAAAACGAAGATTGAGCTTTTTATTGCTGTCAGGGGTCCGAATTTTGTGTGGGGAAAAGGTGGAATTGTTTGATGTGAGAGCTTTTTCAAGTGTTGATTTTGTTTCTAGATCATTCATTGTTAGAAGGAATGGTCCGATAATTTTTTGTTCTCGTTGTTTTCAGTTAAGAGAATTTCTAGCAGTTTGTGTCAACTCATTTCGGATAAAATTTGAGATGGATTTGATCGTCGCATAAAATCTTATTGCTTTTGTATAAAAGTTGTGCCCAATAAGGTGTCAAAATAAATTTATTTGCTTGCAAAGATAGTTTAGGAGCACGAGTAAAGTTGGAGCTTCCTATTTTTATTGTTAATTCCAAAATTTAAGGAAAACAGAAATAGATTACAAGTTCTGGACGAATATAAGGATAAATGAGGTCTTTTGATTGAGCTAATTGCAGAAATATATACCACATGAATTAAAAGGCATCTGTCAAAAGACTCATAACCAAAACCCATCAAGTGAAATACCATAATCCATTAAGTAAACGAACTTTCACCGAATCTGATATCCTGCATCTATCATCATCTGTACACAGCTGAAATAATACATTCCTAATAACCCCAATTGTAGTCATCCCGGTAAATCGTCACATGCAATTAGCTGTAGAATTCAAACCCCTCAAACTGAACCACCATTTTTTCCTTCACTTTCAACTCTTTCCCAACAAATCAAATGCACCAAAAATCCAAATCTAGAATCACTACTTGACTAACCTAAACCCGATTTAGTCCCAGATAACGATGGCCTGATCATTGGATGATGACCAAGCGACTGCTGAGAATTCGAAGGAGAACCAAACATGGCATTAGAGGTTGTTGATGGTGGTGGGTGTATAGCCGAAAGGGGTAGCCTCGGGCCAAGCCCGTACATCATCGACATTTGGGGATGCATTTGCTGGCTATTGCCATATCCAGAGAGAAAAGATGGTTGAGGACCTGAAACTTGTCTACTATTTCCAGAAGTGTTGTTATGTACCATAAGGTTGCTAATGCCAGGTAGGCTTGTTGGTTGGGCTAATCCACTATTGGATCCAAACTGGGCTGACATCATGAGGGCCCGCTCAGCAGCAATCCTCTGTCGTGTCCTTTCCATCTGTTCGCATTCTTTCATTAACATGGTCTCGATTTCTGCAAACTGCTTAAGCTTCAGCTCTAATCTCTTTAACTGAAAAGGTGAAAAGAAATCATGTTAAGCAACAACTTAACTAAAATACAGAAAGCCAGGTCATAGTTCGAATCCCATAGAACTAGAAGTACAAAGAGAAAATCCACAACATTGTAAGTTTGTAACTCAAGTCACTAGCTTTTGTCTTGGTAAATATAATATGACTAAATCAAGACTAATTTAACTAATAATTCTTGCATATACATGGCACTTCGACATTTGGCATCCCATTCATGAACACCATGGAACTAAAAGTATAATAAAGATACGAAAAAAAATAATATAACCACATATTTTAACTAGAATAATCAATTCAGCACACACACACACTCATAATTACCTGATGGTTTACGATATTAGCAGATAATCGTTGGATTTCACGCTCTTCGTGATCAGCAAAAAGCTTCGCCTTCAATGCTGCAGCAACAAGACCGTCTTTTGCTGCAGCTGTCACCTTTTCAGTTGATAATTGAACACCTTCAGTATCATGTTGGCTCAAAGGACCTTAAGAGAGCCAACCAGAGATGCATACAAAAAAAAAAAATCAGAAGATGATTTCTTAAGGAAACAAAAAGGAAAAGGAGAAAGGAAGAGACAAAAACTATGACATACCATTTGTCCTCAATCTAGTGATTCCTCCATTAGAACTTTCTTCTTTGTCAATATCTTTAGAAAGTGAAGCCAAGGATGCATGGGCACAGGCAGCAGCCACCCTTGGCCCTAGCACAGAAGCAAGAAAGGCTACCTGTATACAAAATTGGATGGACTTTATGAGAACATTTTACATACTGCAGTAATATGGAAGTTCCTAGCTTCAAAGGAAGGGATACAATTGAACAAGGCTTAGTTAAAGAATTAAAAAATAGAAGCTTCAGTATGAACTGTAGCTGTATTACAGTTACGGCCAAACTTACATGAATGTGTAACTGTTCAAATTCAGTCACGTAACTATGACATGATATTTTTTTCTAAGTAACTCTTCCCAGAAAATGAGTTTTGGCAAAGCAATGCAATTATAGGTGAGGGATTCCCAGAAAACCCACATGCAGCTCGCCAGAGAAAATTTATGTGAAGGACAGAAAAAATAGTAGACTACAAACTACAAAAAGAAAAAACGCCAGATAAACAGTACCAGGGACATCACTGGATTTTCACAATCTGAGAAAGGGAAATTGCTTTTCGTATCATCCCCTGGCAAGCAGTAACCTGCATCATGAAAATAAATTCCAAAATGTTAATTTGTGGGATTTCCTCAGCATAGAAAAATAGTTAAAAGAATCTTGATTATAACGTCAACCATTTGAATTTGGCTCCGTCCTATCATGATCATCATGGCTCCACAAATTTGACGAACCAGAAGTGCTTGGAACATCGATATTTTCCAACACAACACCATCTACAGGAAGACTGATGAAATGAACTATGCACTGTGCTTTGGATTTTGAGCCAACATGCTCTGCAATTTTGTTCCAGTTTTCATTGTACAGCTGTATTCCTTCGAGCAGCAGTAACGTTTCCTGGTCACTCCAACTATCTCCATCTGTGCCCCCATAATCTTTCAGGGAGTTTTCTTTAGCAAAATCCAGGCTAGAATGACCAGCAACAAATCCTCCCTCGTGATAGCAATCAGGACACAGCCCCACATCGACCTGACAAAGCCACATGCAACATTAAATAGCACCCACTGATCTTTCATTGTCCCACAACATGCAGTTTTCCAGTGTGTTACACTTGAATGAGTATTGAGTCCTAATTTGAATTCTATTACATGCAAATTCTTTCATGGATTTTCACAACCTGCTCAGACCTGGTAATACATGAGTCATATACTGATATGCATGCCAAACTAGGATACACATATATTAATAAGGTGGTTCAAACTGACGAATATTTCACCTAGCTGTCACATGACTCATACAGCATGCCATTGATCCATATGGATCTCAGAAATACATGGTTAAGGCGTGCAAACTTAAGTTAGTGGCAAATGCTGTTATTTATTATAGCCTTGGTAGTTCCAATGCAAGGCAGCAGTTCAGATATTAATAATTCATGGATAAGTAAACCTGAATATGCAGAAACAAGGCCAACAACAATAAGATGCAAAAATAAAACAAATTCATAGAAAAAAAGAACTAATTATCGAAAAATGTCATTTACCTCCTTCTGAGACTGATAGTAAACAGTAGGAATAGATCGAAAACAACAACTGCATCGAAAATCAGATAATTGCTTCCTTATGATGCTGTCAATATCGGGGTCCTCATCCTGCTTACTTGTTAGTTCTGGATAGACGTCACTTGCTTTCAGCTTACACGTTGGCTTGTCAAACTTGATCAAGCTCTCTGTAAATTTCAAAGCAGTCAACGGCACCTGAAGTTCATTACTTGAGTCCTCGTACAAATATGCACCATCCTTTTGGACCTCATGCTTTAGAGGTGTTGCGCAATAATTGATAATCCCCCAACAATCCAAAAACTTTACGATACGAATTAAATCTTCATTATCAACATCAGCCACTAGTCCTTGGCAGTCAGCAACTGACAGGTGCTTTTGAGGGTTCTCCATATACTTGGCAACAATGAAATTCCGACATTCCATATATTTTTCAGGAGTGTGCTCTGGTCGCTTCCCAAAGAAAAAGTGTGGCACCACTTGTCTCTCCAATCTATGCACCGAGTTTGGTGAAAACCAATCTGTTTATACATCAAACAGAAACCATCAAATCCAAGAGCATGGTTACTTAAAGAGTATATATTGCAGGTGAAGAATGGAACAAGAGAAAAGATGGAAAACAAAATAGAATAAGCTTCAAAAACTTAACAAGAGAAAAGATGGAAAACAAAATAGAATAAGCTTCAAAAACTTACTGTTCTGCGCTATGCATTTCAATCTGCAACTTTCTAAATAAAACAAACAATGCATTTCAACCACAACTGATAATAAAACTGAACCATTACCATCTACATATTGCTCAAATGGAAATATAAGTTTCTGAGTTCAGTTTGTCAATGAACCAGTGCTGATTTAAAACTTTGCTCAAATCCAAGTTCTAGCGTGTATTTTTCACTTGAAGCACAAGCATTTGACTCAATTCAGGCAATTTACAATTCTAACTAAAATTGGGAAAAATCAAAGGAGAAGAATGAAAAACTCAATTAACAAAACAAAAGTTACGGACAACCGAGAAGGAAATTGAACTTGACCTGAATGTACTGGCACAACATGCACACGGCCCGCACTTCCAATCCTTTTAATTATGCCACTTCCTGAAATTATCCTCGGTGGCTTTATCACATAAGAACCATTGTCACTACCACTTGCCGATTCTTCCAGTGGAGGCCCCAAAAGAGCTGGACTATCACGCGGCACGGCAGAAAGTGCCTGCAGCTGCCCATGAGAAATATTCTCCAACAAAGCCACCCCACTTTGCACTTGGCCTCTGTTATCTACAATCTGTGCAGCTCTCTCCGCTTCCACAATCTGGAAGACGGATGAGTGGGGCCTACTTACCTGCCTCTGGATTACAACTGGAAACTCACATATTCTTGATCCACCACCAACCAACTTTTCACCCTCTTTCTCACTCATCAGCCGGGATGCTCGATCCACTCTGTGATCCGGGAGATCATCTTCGGCTTCTGGGTTGTGTGGTGGGTCCAAATCAAGGTCCTCGTCATCATCGTTATCCTCAAACGCATTGTCGTTTTCGTGTTCTTTCAGTTTAGATTTACGTGCAGCCGCGTAATCTGTTTTCCGCTTCTTCCACCTAGCTCTAGCCTCTTAACGATACAGATACAGAACCAAGAAGAGAATAAAACATCTGGATTCAGTCATTTGATCATACTCATCACAAAAGTATTTGAAAATTAAAAAATAAAAATTCCTTTAGAATAAAAACTAGCATCCTCATTTTCGAATTCGTCCCCAGCAAACAAAAGATTTCACATTTTAAGGCATAGGCAGCAACCCAATTCAGATTCGTAAATAAACAAATGGGCTACAATAAATTTGATTAAAAAAACACACACACATAGACAAAATGTTACGAGAAATACAAAATACACTACTCCAGCTTCAATTTTCACAAACGATCGCCACTCACAGGCTCTCTACACACATATTTCAAAAACTTAACTTGAATTATCACACA